ATAAAAGAACAAATCAAAACCAATTTCGTGTCAAACAGATCCAATGAAAATATACTATGAAATTTCATATTTTTCAATAAACTAATTTTTACTTTTTTCTTAAACACATACATAGATGAAGCATTTATTATCAAGAACATTCAACAGTTTAATTCCTCGTACAGACGTGCAGCGTTTCTTCAAACTTGTTCGAATTTTAGGTTTCACAAATAATTTCAGTCCCTTGAGATTATAATTACTGCCTCTCTTTATGAAGTGTAATGGAATATTCCAAGGTAAAACATTTGTATGAGCTCTAAACATTATTTGTAGAAGTCCATAATCAACCAGTTCGTCAAACTTCAGTAACTTTAATTGTTGAAACAATATGTTAGATGGATGACTGAAATGTTTTCTTGTAATGATTCTTAGGGCCCTTTTCTGTTAAATAAAAATAGAGTTTGTAAATGTTCTACATGCCCTCCCCCAGACCTCAACACAATAAATCAAATGTGGAACAACAATAGCATTATACAATATAAGTAGTGCTTTATCATTAAATAACTCCTTTACCTCATACAGTACAGCAATAGATGTTGCTGGTTTTGTTCTCAAATAATCTTTATGAGATTTCCAGGTCAGGTTCTCATCAATAATTACACCCAAAACTTTCACCTCACTCACTTTACAAATATCATTTCCATAAATTTTAAATGAAGCATCAACTATTATTCTTTTATTACTAGATATCATATAATTTGTTTTTTTTTTTCAAATTTAAAGACAATTTGTTAAACCCAAACCAAGTTTGTATTTTTACAAATTCTGTTTGCATTATGTCTAGCATTCGTTCTAAATTTTTTCCCAAACAAAAAAATGTGGCATCATCTGCAAACAAAACACATTTAAACAATCCCGACACATTAACCAAATCATTTAAGTATAAAAGAAACAGCTTTGGTCCAAGCACAGAACCTTGTGGGACCCCACACGTAATGTTATCAAATTTAGATCTTATTTCATCCATTTGCACAAATTGTTTCCTATTTGTCAGATAGCTGGATACCCTTTGTAAAACTGGACCTCTCAGGCCATATTTGTTTAATTTTTTTGAGAAGAATGCTGTAATCAATTGTATCAAAGGCTTTCTTTAGATCAACAAAAATACTAATACAATATTATTTTTGATCAATAGCTGTAGTTATTTGTTCTATAAAATCCATGAGTGCCAGTTATGTTGAATGTTTAGCTCTAAAACCATATTGAGTGTTACTCAAAATGTTTTTTGTTTATTGAGATATCGGTCCATTCTAGTTACAAACAATTTTTCTAATGATTTTGAGAATTGGGGTAACAATGATATTAGTCTACAGTTAGCAAACTTTGATTTTTCACCATTTTTATTGAGTGGAATTACTTTAGTTATTTTCATACCATCAGGAAACATTCCTGTTGAAAATGATAAATTGCATATGTATGTAAAAGGCTCAATAACATAACTTATTATTTCTTTCACAAATGTAAAATCCATGTCCATCCAGTCCTTAGATTTTTTTTCCTGAATTTTTTTTTACCATATTCATTATTCGTTCACAGCAGATACACATTATTTGTGTGTGTGTGTGTGTGTGTGTGTATATATATATATATATATATATATATATATATATATATATATATATATATATTCTTGTGCCATACACTATTCTATTGACAGCATAGAAAGATAAGAGCCTATGCTCAAGTTTTATAAAACTGTGGCACTTCACAATACCAATTAGTTTGTTGTTATTTTTACAGAGATATTTATTTGTTGATGTGACGCCCTCGTTCTCTGTGGCTGTCATCATGAACCACTACACCAGGGGGCGCTCTTACGAATGTTTAGAAGCCCGTCTCTCCTCAGCTTCACTTCCGGGTTAGTCACAGTGTTCAACATGGCGGTGCCCACGGTGTGCTGTTATGTATGGCGGCATGTGCCCCGTAGTGTCTTCAAACGAGCTCGTTTTCGTCTCACATTGGACTCTAAATTTCACAGCTCTTCTCCCGCACACAGCGGCCTCTTGTTGTCTCTGCACAAGCGCGGTATTCTGAAGGACACGTTCCCAGATAAGGCGGCACAGGACGAGCTCCCCCGGCTCCTCCAGTCCGGCTCTCAGACTATATACTGCGGCTTTGACCCCACAGCCGACAGCCTCCATGTGGGCAACCTGCTCGCACTTATCGGCCTGCTGCACTTCCGAAGCGCCGGGCACAATGTCCTGGCTGTGCTCGGAGGAGCCACGGCTGAAATCGGGGACCCGAGCGGAAAGGCGAGCGAGCGGGAGCGGCTGTCCGTCGAGGCGATGCAGGCCAACGGTCACAGCATCCGGGAGAGCATTTTGAGGATTTTTGCCAACCACGAAGCGATCTTTCACGACAGCAACAAGCCGCTGGGCACCGTCACCATCCTCAACAACCGGCGCTGGTTTAAAAAGTTTACCGTGGTGGAGTTTCTGTCGGAGGTCGGGAGGCACTTCCGGATGGGGAGCATGCTGAGCCGCCACAGCGTGCAGTCCAGGCTGAAGAGCGAGGAAGGCATGAGCCTGACCGAGTTCACCTACCAGGTGTTCCAAGCTTATGACTTCTACCACCTGAACCAGACTGTCGGCTGCAGGATTCAGCTCGGAGGCACCGACCAACTGGGCAATATAATGTCTGGACATGAGTACATCCGCAAGTAAATGTCCTTCATTCTGTCAGGAAATCAGATATTCATATATTACTACTATCATCTGCCTGAATCCAGGGTTGCAAAGTAGTCTGGGAGAATGCCTACATGTTCCGGGCTGGGAATTTATTATTTTAATGATGAAAAACCTTTTCCATTTTGGATAAAGTGAAAGTCAAAAGTCATAAGTTGTCTTTTACAATATTTTAGAATCAGTGAGAACAAAGTTAGTATTCCCAAACCATGGAAGATATTGCATGAAGCTATTTAGAAATGTAACCTATAGGGCTGTGTATTGGCAAGAACTTGGCGATACGATACATATCATGACAGAGGGGTCACGATACGATATATCCCCATATATTGAGATTTTTGTCCAAAAATTCTATTAAATACCTGCCTTCTGTAACGTTGGAAAAAAGAGCACACAAGACACTTAATTTGTCTTAAAATACAGAC